AGATCTTGATTTGCTTTCATCATCACCTCTAGCTCTCGCTGCCTAGTTGCAGCCATATTTTGTTGCATCTCAGTTAGATCTTGATTTGCTTTCATCATCACTTCTAGCCCTCGCTGCCTAGCTGCAACCATATTTTGTTGCATCTCAGTTAAGGTCGTTATCATTGGATCTGGCTGTGAAGTATTTCCCCGCTGGTTTATTCGGGGTCTAGCCAAATCTGCTAATATTGGATCGGTCGGGTCAATAGGAGGATCAGAAGTCCTTCTTGGGCGAACCATAATTCTGCATATTTCACACAAAGGAATGAGTTAGCTACGCTCACACTCGGTGGTCAGACATGCATATCATAGTACTCCAAGAAAACTCAAGAATATAACAACCCGAACATTTCATGCAATATTTCACAGGCTCTCCTAGAGAAACTGCTCTGATACCATAAATGTAACATCCCCGTCTCGAGCCGGTTCAATTAACATACATATGATAAAACAGAAAACAGCGGAAGACTTAACTTCTGAAAATACGAGCTAACTTTTTCTTTTTCTTTTTAAATTCTCATTCGTCGTAAACGAAAATCGGGCAGAGTTTCCTCTATAAATCGGACAACTGGGGATTTTCCAATCCCTCACAGAAGCATTTCCTGATAAACAGTTTATACAAATATAATCAAATGTCCATCCATGGGCGCATGCATAACTTGGCTCAGTGCCACTATATCTAACAGCATGCAATCCAACACGTAAACATATCTGAATACTACCTCATCATATAACGTGCCTGAATACGCAAATGTACATGCATCAAAGCGACAGACATGTACAACACATATACAGGCCATATACACAATAAAGGATCAATATCATGATCCATCAAATGCCAAAATACTAAAATACATCAAACACTCCAAAAAGGTAGTAGCCTACAGCCACTCAAAATCCGATCTGTCAACTGCCTCAGCCACGTGTCGTGTCCCTGCCTAGTGAGGACTCACCGGGAATCTGGGCACCTGAAAATATGTCCCCAAAGAGGGGTGAGATTACAAATCTCAATAAGCTCCAGGTTTATAGAGAATTCTCCATACCCCTGGCTCACTCCTGCATAAAAGTCAGATACAAAGTATACGAATACAACATATAACAGATATCATAACAGAACAGAGCATATATCCATATCATATCATAGATGTGCGCCGTCATTCCCAAGGGAGGACCCCAAGCGGAAATCAACGCACGTGTTCCCGAGGGAGGACCCCAAAGCGGAACCAGACATATCAGAGGCGTACACCATCAGTCCCGAGGGAGGACCCCAAAGCGGACGTCCGGGTACTATACAACCAATGGCCAGAGATTGTTACAGAAATCATATTACAGAAGTCATATCAGAGCAAAACATATCATGTTATCAAATAACTCTATATGAATGCATCTATACAAAGCATCTAAATCACAGTCATACAGTCCAACCATAGTTCACTAGCCATGGTGGAGCACTCAAGCAGGAAAAGACTCCTTAAACATAGAGCTTACCTCTTGAAGCTTTACCAATACGCTTACTTGTTGCACAAGTTACTTATATGTCTTCAAGAGATTCCGATCCTTTTTAGTCCCTAGGTGCACCTAGAGCAAGAATCCACAAATAGAAATCAATAAAATGCTATCATGCCTAGACTTTCCATAAGGCATACATTTTATCGCTTATCTTCCTTTCTTTATACTTTTGCCAATGTTATGCCAATACACAAGTCTAGACCACCTTATACTCGTTAGCATTCTTTCATTTTAATCAAGTATTCACTTGAGAATTTTCAATATCATTCATGCCATTTTACTTCAAAAGCCGCGGACATACCCTTAGGAAATCAAAGTATTTTTCAACCATTTTTCAAGTCATTTCACTTCTTAACTCATCAATTTTATACAATGAATTACAACACATTTTATTTACAATAAAATGTAACAAAATATACCCCTATACCACCCTCTAGGTCGAACACTACAAGGACATAGACAAAGGTTCTTTTTCTTCACTTACATGTAACTTACACATACAAATACATGTTTTCTTAAGGTTCCAACTTAATTTTTGGAGCATAAAGCCCCTCCAAAGCCCCACAAGGCCTAAACCTAAGGGCATATTTCATATAATTTTTCCCACTTTGGCATTCTCAGTAATTTATCAAATTTCCACTTAATTCCTACACATTAAACCTTCTTAATACTTAAGATAAAATTTTCGCACAACAACCTACTCTTCACCTATGATGGCCGAACATGTAAAGGAAAGCATAGGATTTTTTTCTAATTTTTTTTTTTTACATACATACAAATGCTTATTTTCATTTCTTAAATCCAAGACATCAAAGATTCATCATTAAATCAAAGTTTAATACACAATTCTTTCCTACCAAAACATACTCATAACTTTTATAACTCAAATCATCAAAATAATACCATGGAAATAGAGGTTCATTACCTCCAAAAGCTTATACAAGGTCTAGAAGGTGACCAACAAGCAAGACTCCACCAAAAACCCCCCTTTTTCACCTTGGATGAATAGTAATCCGAAAATGGAGTGATGAATATCTCCCTCCACAAACGAAATCAGCTCAAATGGAGGGGTGGAATAGCTTCCTTGGACGATTTCCTATGAGATTGGTATATTGGGTGGAAGATTTGGTGGCTTAACCATGGAGAAATCAAAGAAGGAAGAAGACAACCCCAAACCCTTCCCCCATGGCTGCAGCTCGGTTTTGAGAGTGAGGAGAGGAGAGAGAAACTGATTTGGAAATGAGACTTAAGTGACTTAAGAAGGTGAGCACATGTGGCCTTTTACCCGGGTATTTTTCTTTCGCGTATTTTCACTTAAACTAACCCGGAACTAACTCAAAGCTACAAATATATTTTTATTTTTCTAAAATCATTTATATTACTTTTTAATTCTTACAAAACAATATTCATAATTCACAGTATGATTTTTGCACCGTTTTTGACGAAATGCACTGTGAATCACTAATTGTACTTCATTTACTTATGAAACTTAAACTTATAAACTTATCATTTTCTTGGGCCTATATTTACTTGCTTGGCATATATTGGACTTTCTTATTCTTATTTCATCAATTATTTGTTTCTGGGCTCTACCGGTTGCTTAAACAGCAGTACAAAATACCCGGTAGAAACACTATTCACGAGATTTTCACGGAAAGTGCCAGACTATACAATTTTTTGTTCTGAACTCATATTTGTCGTCAGAATTTTCAAATTATGTTCCTAAAATTATTTTGCTCATTTAAGCTCTACCGGTTAATTCACAAAACTGTAAATTCTCCGGCAGAACGCACTATTCATAACATAGTCATGATTACAGTCAAAATACTCGAAATCGCTCACTGAATCTAATTATGGCATTTAAATCCTTAAATTAAATCTCTAACTAAGATTTACCAGTTAGGGTCATTATACCTGCCGCATAACATCTTAGAGATAGTGACTGGTTTCCTCCCTCCTGCAGTAAATGACGGATCGGATGTAGAAAGATGGAGTATTGGGGGTCATGGTTCAATAACAGTTAAGGATGCCTATCAGGTACTTTTACAGAAACGAGTTCCACTTGTTAATCAAAGTATTCCAGACCATGTGTGGAATGCTCTTTGGCATTGGAAGGGTCCAAAGAGAGTGAAGATTTTCATGTGGAAATGTCTGCGCCGTAGATTGCCAACTAGAGCATGGGCTGCGAAATGGTCAGACGCGAATCCTATCTGTTCTCGATGTCTTAGCGCATATGAGACAGACTTTCATGTATTGAGAGATTGTGTTGTGGCAAAAACAGTGTGGGATAAAATGCTATCAACCAGGCGGCAAGCTTCTTTCTATGATTTGGATTTGGTGGATTGGATGTCTTCTAACATATGTAACGATAGGTCAGGACCCAGCAGTCTAAATTAGGATACAATTTTCCTTTTAACTTGTTGGGAGTTGTGGAACGATAGAAATGCTTTTTATCACGGAAAGGAAGAATCTGCTGATTTTTTTCTTGTGCGCAAGGTGCAATGCATGGCTTTGGATATCAAGCAAGCTTTTGGCGATAAAGGCAACAAGAAGAAGGCTGGAATGTTATCTTAGATACATATTGCATGGCAGCCACCAGATCATGGATGGATAAAGTTAAATACATATGGTGCAGCTAAAGAATCTCTAGGAGTAGCTGCATGCGGAGGATTATGTAGAGGATCTGATGGTCAATGGCTAGGGGGTTTTGCTTATCATGTGGGTATTGTATCAGCTTTTACAGCAGAACTATGGGGTATTCTGAAAGGTTTGAAATTTGCTTGGAACAAAGGGTTTAGGAAACTTATTATTGAAAGTGACTCCACTTCGGTGATCACGCTGCTTACCAGTAAAGGTAATGATGTCCGAGAGTCGCATATTGTTACTCGCATTCGGACTTGGATGAATAAAGATTGGGATCTCAAGGCTCAACACATTCACCGTGAAGGAAATCAATGTGCTGATGAGCTTGCCAACCATTTGATTTGCCCTAGCCAGAACTCTATTTATAAGGAGTTTAGTCATGTTCCTCCTGGGCTTAGCTGTTTATTTTTTGCTGATATTTATGTTGTTACTAGCATTAGGGACGTTTATATTGTTTAGTTATTTTTTGAGCTGTTAAGCCCTTTTCTTCACACACACACAAAAAAAAAACCAGCAATTATACCTTTGAGAAAATATTAACATACGCACCATTTCCTTAAAGTTATATTAAAAGGGATAGAATATTGTGTTTATTTTTTATTTATTTTTATAAACTATATATAGTTTTTACGGTAGCCAATTACTGTTTGAGTTTGAAACATCTAGATCACGATAAAGCTATCTCTTTTAAAAGAAATTTTGTTACAATCCCATTTATCTTATAATGTACATGCTATTGATCTCAACGACGTCGCTTCAACGTTGTAAATAGGCGAACAATTTCATTTGATTCTAGTATCTGCCGGTACAGTAGTCTTTGGCTTTGCCGTTAACTTATCCGATAATCCAATTCCATGATAATTTCGGAGGTTGTTTGCTGCAAATTCAATCCCATTTCAAATTTTCTTCAACTCAATAAAGCTTCGCAACTTAACCCATCAAAATAAAAGGTTACTTTCTTTTCTTTTCTTTTTCTTTTTCTTTTTCTCTTTTTTTTCACGCAATTCTTTATAGCCATTTACATGCTTGCTTAATCCCTTTTCTGTTATCCATCCAAGACTCTAAATTTCACAACCCTGCTAGGCTACCATTCCATAATTAGTTCCCGTGAATTGTTTTTGTGTACGTATTTCATGCTCAATTTAGTTTTCCTCAAAAAAAATTGGTGACCCTATTCAATTTTATTTTTTCAGTCGTTTCCATTGGCTTTGCTGATTTTTGTTACCTCGTCCTATTTTATCTCCATCAAAGTTTGTAACTTGGAGCTTTCAATTGCAGTTTTGGGATTGCTATTTTTGGTACATTCAATCTGATGTGGAAAAAAATGGCACTCTCTGATGGTAAAGTTGCATACAAGAAGAACACTCAATTCATCTACGATGATGGTCATCATAATCATAGCTATTCAGAGTCTACATGGGCTGAGCCTAAGCCTTCAAACCAAAAAAAAGAGTTTTTGCATCAGTTCCCTTCCGGTGCTGAAGATTTGTTTGATGGAGGTTTTGGATTGAGTGATGATTCTATCATACACTCATTTAGTAATATGCCACCAGAGGTGAAATTGAAGAATGTGCTTGCTGGGGCCTTTGCCATTTTGACTGGCAGAAACAAAACTCCAAGAATTACTGCTGATCAGCAGTGCCCTAATTTAAAATTGTCTTTTCTTGGCTCTGGAAACAATGGAGATATTGTCATTGACTCATCGGTGTATGCGCCGAGTGCGCCGCCCCTTTTTGAGCTTAATGGGATTGATTATAGTGCCTACAAAGAGGTGCTGGAGGCTGAGCCCCCGGAGTGGCTCCCTGATAGTTCTGCTGCTGTTTGTATGCAGTGTAGTGCTCCATTTACTGCACTTACCCGTGGCAGACATCATTGCCGGTTTTGTGGAGGGATTTTCTGTCGGTTGTGTACGAAGGGGAGGTGTTTGTTGCCTGTTAGGTTCAAGGAAAGGAATCCGCAGAGGGTGTGTGATGCCTGCTATGATAGGCTTGATCCTTTGCAGGGTGTTTTCATCAACACCATAAGCAATGCTGTGCAGGTAGCAAAGCATGATGTGATGGATTGGACTTGTGCTAGAGGGTGGCTTAATCTTCCTATTGGCTTGTCTATGGAGCATGAGATATATAAATCATCTAATACTTTGAGAAGCTACTGCCAGGTTTGTTTTTGTTTTTTTTAATGTAAGTTTGCATTGAACCAATGACTTGTTGCCATATTCCAATGATAACATATCTTATTGATTCTATGATGTTCGTTTGACTGGGTGGTTGCTGTCGCTATTGGGTATGAGCAAGTAATTGTGTTGTTGGTTTATCTGAATAATAGTAGATTAGTTGCTAGCGTTTGTACTGCTGTTACCTGTAATAGCTAATAACTTTTTAAATGGACAGGTGGCGAGATCCAATCCTGAGAGGTCCATCCCTTTAGCCATTCTTACAGGAGCCAAAGGCCTAGCAATTTTAACAGTTGCTAAAGCTGGTGCACTGCTCTCTTACAAACTGGGTACTGGTTTGGTTGTTGCTCGAAGATCAGATGGATCGTGGTCTGCGCCATCAGCCATATTCTCCCTGGGTTTAGGATGGGGTGCTCAGGTAAAAGATCATATGTGGGTTTCTATGGTGTGTAGGAATATATCACTATGGTTGTGCTTGTGATTTTGGTTTAATTGAAAATGAAGAATGGTTCTAGAATTTCTTTTATTCTTCAATTATTAGAGTATTTTTCGACAGCCTTATTTGTAAGCTGCCACTCTTGCATTGGTGGAAAACTTAGTTTAATCAAACATTACAATGATAATAGAAAGTCAAGAGCGTAATATCAAAATCAGAACTCTCAGAGGAATGCATGACTGCGTCTTGACTTGATTATGATTTCTTTAGTAACTGATTTACTTATGCTCATCCTATATTCCCAGATTGGTGGTGAACTTATGGATTTTATAGTTGTTCTTCATGATATGAAAGCTTTGAAGACATTTTGCAGCCGCATGCATTTTTCTCTTGGTGCTGGATGTAGTGCTGCTGCAGGGCCTCTTGGAAGAGTGCTTGAGGCAGATATCCGAGCTGGCGACAGGGGTTCTGGCATGTGTTATACTTACAGCTGCAGTAAAGGTAGTTTGCAATGAAACTTTGTTGCATATCTCTTAATCTTCTTTTGAATGAAATGTCAAGAACATTAGTGGTGCAAGATTCATTTAAATGCATGAGCATATTTGGCTATTTTATGCCATGTTAGTATCCACACTATGGCTTTAAACTTGCTTGAATGGTTTTAACATTAACCAATTTTAGTTGACAAATGACAATGAAGGTCTTGTAATTCAATAACCAGCTTAATATTATGGATTGTCTGTGGTATTTTCTGAATTATAGCATGGTCTTCCCATATTTTAACCACTCCCCATTAAATCCCGACTAGTGAGGGTGGGATGAAGGCAATCCTTATATGCAGTCTTACTCTTGCATTATTTCAAAGAGGCTGTTTTCCGGATTCGAACCCGTAACCTTTCAGTCACAAAGGAACAAAGGGGATTAAGATTACCCTACTTAGATAATCTTTTCTTATTTTGTTCTCATGATTGATGTTTGAAAGAATGGCTAACACTGAATGTTCCCAAACTATAGGTGCATTTGTGGGAGTGTCATTGGAAGGAAATATAGTTGGAACCAAGATGGATGCCAATTTGCGCTTTTATGGTGATCCTTATCTCACCACATCTGACATTTTATTAGGGATGGTGGAAAGACCAAAGGCTGCTGAACCATTGTACGCTGCTCTTCAAGACTTATATTCCAGATTAAGCTGTTAGTTCTATTTTCAGTTGCAATTTGCAACTGTCATTCTGTCACCTGCATGTGGAGCGTCCAATACTGCTTGCATACAATTATGGCACATACATGGAGTTTTGAAATATGGTTCCCTTCAGAATTTTGAAGTCCTTGAATATAGAGGGATCACAGACCAATACTTGAATATTATTTCATTTTATAATGCGCGTGCAAAATACACCAATTTATCATGTGAATATGTTATTTGACTTAATTGTACATAGCCAATGAATCAAATTAGTTTTTTTTTTTTTTTTTTCGTTTCTTGAAATCGTTTATCCATATTGAGGAGTTTCTTTGGAATTGGATTTCCAGTGCATAATGTCTTCTCAACCGGAGCCTTATTCCTCGTGCCAAAATTAATTTAAATAAAAAATTGTTTCTTGATCTGTAATTATCAAAATAAAATGGTAATTACTACAAATTGGTTTTGAATAAATGCTTTATCAATTCATTTCATGTTTGTCAAATGGTTTTCCTTTTTTCTTTTTATTATTATTATTATCATTGTTTAAAAACCCGATCCGGCCATCGACCCGGCCGAGGTCAGGGGTCACGGAGTCACGGGTTCAACCGGGGGGTCATGGGATCATTACGCTGACCCGATTTTATATATTAAAAAAATTAAATATATATATCCTATATGAAAATATTAAAAAACAAATCATCAATCATTAAAGATTCAAAATATATTTAATATAATTCACTAATTATAACCACAAGTCAATATTACACAACCTAATTAAAGTATCTAGATACCAAAGTACAAAACTCATTCTAATGATACCAAAGTATCAAGATACCACAAGTCTAGGTCGCTGGAAGAGAAGAGAACGATTAGATTTAAGTTTGCAAGCATTTTTATTTTATTTTATTTTAATAAAACAACGTTGTTTCATGAAATTTTCTTTGAAAAAAAAAAACATGCAGTGATCTCCTTTGACCCCTATGACTCGGGAGTCACTGAAATCCGGTCGAGTTTTAGGGGTCGGAAGGGTCGATGTGCATATAGGGTCTAACTTGTGACCCCAACCCGGGAGGTGGAGTGGAGTTTTTAAACACTGATTATTATTATCCGGGAACAATGTTATTTTTTTAATTTTTGCAAATTGAATTTGTGAAATACAACGTGAATGAACAAGTAAACGGAAGTGCAACAACTAGGGGGTGTAAATAAATTAGGTCGACTTATAGGGGCTTACGACCTAGCCTATATTAGATCAGACTACTTATTATATTTTTTCTGTTTTCTTTTATTATTATTGATCACTTTTATATGATTATAATTTTTTCACATAATATCTTATGTTAAATAAAATATGATGGGATCCCCTCCCATATAAATTACTCTTAATTCCGATACACCCAATGGTGGCGGCAAAGATTTTGGGGTTACAGTAGTGTATATAAGGTGAAAGATTCTTCACTTTTAACAGATAACGAAAGAGGTTTGAACATATTAATTTAAATGCAAATTTCAAATAATAAGATAAATCTGTTTGCAATAGAAGCTCAGGATACGCTCATATCTAAACAGATTATTATCATTATCTTAATTCATTTAAATTTATGTTTGAGTAGCAGTTACCAAAAAAAAAAAAAAAAGTTGAGTATATCATATTATCATTAGTTAAAACAAATCTACAATAGCATTCTTCCATTGAGAGCCCCAGTGTCAGTGATTAGTTATAACAACTGTTCCCTGAAGACCCTTTCAACCTGGTTATTCTCCCCTCCCGAAAAGTCTGGTGTCTTTGCTTACTTTTCTATACTTTCGATTAGTATCATTTACTCCTCCAAGTTAGAGTAATTAACAGCTATGGGCAACAAGTTTTGCAAGCCTTGTTTCCCAGCAAAAAGTAAAAGGGTTAGAAAGACAACAAACTCATCTGCTACTTTGCCTTCCATCACTGACCTGAGCCTAGAAAACTTCTTGGAGGCCAATGCTAATCCTCTTCCCATAAACGACAATATCCCACCTTTTATATGCCAAATTTGCTTTGAATCAAAGCCTCTAAACGACTCATTCAATGTGGAGGGTTGCACCCACTTTTACTGCACCAGATGCACTGTCAAATACATAGTGTCAAAGCTTCAAGACAACATAGTAAACCTTGTGTGCCCTGAGTCAGGGTGTTGTGGGGTCTTGAATCCTTATTACTGTAAGCCAATTCTACCAAACAATGTGTTAGAGTGGTGGGAGAAGGCTTTAACTGAATCTATGATTCCTGAGAAGGCTAAGTTCTATTGTCCATTTAATGATTGCTCAGCACTTTTATTCAATGACTGTCTTAAAGGAGTGGTCATAAGAGACACAACATGTCCTCATTGCAAGAGAAGCGTTTGTGTTCAGTGTAAGGCTCCTTGGCATCCTGAGTTGAGTTGTGAAAAGTTCCAGAGAATGAAGGACCGGAATGACGATTTGCTGCGGGATCTCGCTAAGAGAAGAAACTGGAGAAGGTGCCCAAACTGTAAGCATTATGTTGAAAAAGACTATGGGTGCAATGAGATGAAATGCAGGTTGGTTTTCCTTCTCTGCTTGTTCTCCTCGTACACAATGTTTTTTAATTTTTGGAAATATCTTTAAATTCCATATTAGCCTTTTTGTTACTTGGGAAAAAAATCTTTTTAAAAAAAAGGGTCAAACGATTGTCATGTTGGATGACATTATTCCCATCATGCTACACACACGGTGGAGCTCATATTATTTTTTTAAAAAAATAAAATAAAAGGGTTTTGTAAGAGTTATGTTGTAGAAAAAATGATTATGTAATGCTATAGATATTAGTTCTGCGTGTCGAAGTTTTTTTTTGTTGCTTTAAAAAGTATAAGCCCCACAAAATATTGTGTGTAGAAAACTATTTTGTGTCATGTTAAAGTCATGTCAAAGGATGAATGCAAATTCCTAAAATAAAATATAAAAACACAAATTTCGAAGTGTCGGGAGAAAATTAAACCACTTTCTATTACTTAACACTTGTTTTCTCCTTTAAAAATTTATTGACTTTTTTTGGGGTCTAATTCTTTGTGGGAGGGACCATCGCCCCTCAAGTTCGTGCAAACCCTTCTCTACAATTTTCAAATTTAATTCGCTCCCACCCTTGAAACTCAGTTTTTGAGCTTTTGCTTAGGATAGAACTGCAAATAGACTAGGTCGGTTTACAGTATTATTTATATTAGATTAGGCTTAGCCTCTTATAAATAATAAGACAGAACATGCCTGAGATTTAAAAATAATGTATTTAAAAAATATGTCATAGACTTTGTTTTTTTTATATATCAAGCCTATAAGCCTACAAGTCGACCTATATCATATTATTTATTTTAAATAAAATTATTATTTTAATAAATTTTAATAATAAAGTAATATTATTTTAGTTATTATTTTAGAGGTAGGATATTCTTACTACCAATTTTTTCTACTACCACTCTAATTACCATTGGATTCAAAAGTTATTTTTTTCTCTCTCTCTTCATTCAACTTTTTCTCTAATCTAATGGTGATTAGAGTGGTAGTGAAGTGGTAGTAAAAAAAATGGGTAGTAAGAATATCCTAACTCATTCTTTTAATTGTTGAATGTTTAATATGCTTAAACAGTTTAATAGGCCAAGACCGAGACTTTTGTTTTTAAACTTAATTTGGGGCATATACAGATACACAGACTAACAGGTCAGGCCATACCCAATATTTTTTACATAAACTTGATCTATTTAAGTCAAAGTCTAACTTAACCTAACCTATTTATACCCGCTTAGAAGATAAAATTATCTCCAAAACATAAGAAGCATTTTCTCCTTATTATTATTCATGTATAAAGCAAGGAATTTATATACTTATGCTATCACTACATAAGTATAATCTCCTATCATAAACTCATCAAATTGTGTGTCTTAATTTTTTTTATTTTAAAAAATATGGGCCCCACTGATGAATGTCTATGCTGCATAATCTCAATTTCTGCTATAACTGAAGCACATAAAGAAAACTTAGTTCTTCGAGTTTGGTTAAGTATGAATCCACTGAAGTGTTACCCTGCCTAATTAAATTAGTGCAAATTTTACTTGCTTTACCCTCTCTCACAAGATTTTCTGACTTCGCCATTGCTCCTAAGGACACTGGATGTGTGGTTGTTTTGTAATTAACTAAATTAAGGAATTAAAGAGGATTGTAGTATATGAACTGGGTTGATGGTAATTAGGTACTGAAGTTTTTGTTTATAAAATATCATGTATACAAGCAAAAGTTTAGAGTTTTACGATTCAAGTAAGAAACTGGGTGGGTTGTCCATACAAATACTGACCTAAGACTTAGCATAATAAACTAGACATTACATCTCCTAAGAATATAATTATCTTGGAAACAATTTGATCGATCTGAGAGGATCGGGAATGTCCAATCGATGGTTGGTAATTATTTATGGAATCATCGCGCTGGCGGATGTCTATGGAAGAGATATCGCAAGGAGTCGCAGATCACTATACATAAATAGTAACATGTAACTAGAACGTTGGATGTGTGCAGAGTAACAGCTAAAAAGTAAATGAGCCAAAAGTGTGTAGGCTTAGACCTTTTTTATATATGGGTTAATTTAGATATAGAGTAAGTGAGACTGCTCGAGAGGATAAGATAGATGACTTATCATGTATCTTCTGGCGATAATAGGCTTATTCTTATCTTTTTAGTTGGTCATTGTTAAGTTGTTAGGATATGAGCCCATAAGATAGGATCATAACACAGTTAAAGTAAGATGGGATCATAACACAGTCAAACGTCACTAATAATAGATCCATTATAAAAAAGATCATTCCAACCTTGATTAATTCACGAGTAAACATAATTAGCATCACATTGTAAATAGACTTTGTCAAATAGACCCATCATAAAAAAGATCATTCCAACCTTGATTAATCCACGAGTAAACATAATTAGCATCACATTGTAAGTAGACTTTGTCTAATTATAATTCCCATGCAAATGCAAAGTTCTATAGCAGTGACCTGTGGTGATATATGAAGCTTCCACAACCTTGTTCAGGAGGGATATTTAAAATTCCCTCCTAATATATCATTTGGGTCAAGTAGTTTATTTACTCTTAATTTTTTCAAATAATAAATCAAAGAAAATATGTAATCAGCTTGATCTTGAGGTTTCTTTTCCCCTTCAAGTTCATTAATTTCTCATCAAGAATAAAGCATGCTCTTTTCTCTTTAATTACTGGCTGATTATTGATTAATTGTTAACCTTGTTCAAGACGGATATTTAAAATTCCCTCCAAATATATCATTTGGGTCAAGTAGTTAGTTTATTAACTCTTAATTTTTTCAAATAATAAATCAAAGAAAATATGTAATCAGCTTAATCTTGAGGTTTCTTTTCCCCTTCAAGTTCATTAATTTCTCATCAAGAATAAAGCATGCTCTTTTCTCTTTACTTTAAAATTATTGATTAATTGTTTAAATATATTTTTAAATTGCAGGTGTAATCACCGGTTTTGTTACGATTGTGGAGCTAAATTACATAGTAATCGTACCCATGAATGTCCTTTTTAATGTAAACATGGATGTTCTCTGTATAAAAACAACCAGAGTCTTGTTGAAAAGTAGTGATTTCAGGACAGAGTTTAAATGTAATAAGAGACAAGGTAGAAGGAACTTTATTTTCAGCTTGTTGAACTTCAATGTGATTGGTGAAGATATATTAATCTAGAAGAACATTTTATTCCCTTAATAGTTGCTATAGTTTTTAACTTGTTTCTACTCATTGTGTGTTTTTTCATCCATGGATGAATAAAATGTTCAACCGTCCTACAAAATCCTCCTTGAGAGAGAAAATGAGGATACATATTCTTAATTTGTTCAAGAGGCTGCCTCGTCAAATGAGTTTTTCCGTTATAATGGTCTAGTAGATTGCATGAGAGAGTCTTGTTTACTTTAAAAGAGTCTATTAACATAGTGTGAAAAGATAGTGAGGTTACATATTAATGATGGTAGTTTAGTTGGCACCAAAAAATTGAGTAGATGGAGTAAAAATATATGTTCGATCCTCCCTAACATCGTGTTTAGGAGGAGTTTAAAGTCTTAATCTCATGATCCGTTCCAAATCGAACTAATCGCGAAACGATAAATCGATCGGAATATTTCAAAATAAAAAAAAAATAAAAAAAATACAAGAGCCTCATGGATGTTCGCAAATTTTAACTTTCTTTTATATAATGGTCATTAATACAACCATCCCTTTGTTTATGAGATTATTAAATTAATATTCATATTCCCACCTAATAATGCATTTATGGACCCAATAAATCCGATTTTGAATTTGAATATTTTCACCCTCCCCCAAGAGTTCCAACACACTGGCATTTCTCCTCACACATATATATTTACTTTTTGATGATAAAGTTAAAAGGTTATAGATAAATTGTGATAATTCATTAAATTGATTTTTGGAAGGTAAAATATTAAGTTGTCTAACAAATTGATGGATAACTAAATTTCTTAAACATGCTGATAGGAGTTTGATCATTGATCTTGTATATGAAAAATATTTTATTAAGAGAGATTTATCCACTTAATATGATTTTTTATCTCAAAAAAGTTAGTCTTTGACTATTGACTAGAAGATACTTTGAAAAATTATATATATATATATATATATATATATATATATATATATATATAAAATATATATATTAAGTTGCCTATTCTTTTTTTCTTCGATACAACTTTCTTCTTTTCTATACTTCTTGAATTAGGGAAAGACAATGTCATATTATCTTATCATGTTTACTTCTAACAAAATATTATACTTATAGTTTTTTAATTAAAAGTTATATATACGTATAGTGGCGGAACCGGCAAAAATAATGAATTAGAGCCACAACAATTTAACTAGTGCTAACTATTAAATTCTATCATTTCAACTTAGTCACATATATTTACCCACGTCTAAAACGTGACTAACTTTTAAAAATTATTTAGGGCCAAGGCCCTAACAGGAACAATATGGCTCCGCCAGTGTATAAGTTAATTCATATGTTAATTCATATAATTTTTTAATTGAGCATGTATCTATAAAAAAAATATAATTTTAGTTTACATTAATTTTATGAAAAAAAATATATAAAATTCATAAAGAATTAATTTTTATTTTTAAGATTTTTATTTTCTGATGTAGTATATATCAATAAAACACAATCTAGTTTATATAAATTAGAACACTTTTAAATTTTCAATAAATATTAATGTAGTAAGATATATTTTTATTTTTAATTATTTATAATGTTAAAAAATTTCACTTATCATCAGTTTATAAATACATATTGTGCTATTTTCTTTAATTTTTATTGAAATATTTTTAATATAATTAGTTATATTTGTTTGAAACATCTCACCTGAACCAAATACGAAAATGAAATTTTATTGAGAATGCAATATCTAATTCTAAAAAAAAAATTAAAGTACAAATCATATCACATCTGTCATCAATCATTCAAATATATAATATATTTATGAGATAGGATATTTTTTTTTCATACCTAATTTATTTATTTATCTCCAGCATTGATAAATCAAAATTTCAAGTAATTTTCTTGAATATCATGATAAAAAGGATATATATTATCATATTTCTTTATTTATTATTAAAAAAACAAAAAACAAAAAGACAGCATTCCCGAACCAAACGTCGTCATGGATTGGAAAGAAAGGACTAAAATGGATTCATAGACGTAAATTGTAAGCAAGCCCAGTGGAAGTGTGAGTGTGCTGTGTGCTGTGTGCAGTGTACCTACCTCAATCAGTGAATTCCAAAACCCTTTAGGTTTAGGCACAAAAAGCATCACCAATATTTGTTCTTTTTGAAATTGAGTTATACAATCTAACAGTTTTCAATGTTGAATTCTGAATCACCATCTCAGATGAGTGTAGACACAGTTCTCAAAATCGGAACAGGATCGACCAAGAAGCACAGGATCAGTGTTCCCATTCCCTCTTCCATGGAGGTGGTGGATCTCGAAGCCTTTTGCTTCTCCCACCAGGGCACCAAAATCTCCACCGCCATCTCCGTCGACCGCGCCTCCTCTCTTGCCGCTCCGGTTATCATCGATCTTTCCGACACTGAAGATGACGATGACGTTAGGATCCTCAATTTCAAGCCACAAAACACCCCTTTTGGAAAAAGAAGAAGAAACGCCATCGACATTAACTCCTGTGCTGCTGAAAAGGGAGAGTGTTCAAAAAGCGCACCATTTGTTTGTGAAATTTGCACAGAGACCAAAACCGTGAAGGACTCTTTCTCTATCAGTGGTTGCACCCACGCTTACTGCACGGAGTGCGTGGTGATGTATGTGGATTCCAAGCTTCAAGAAAACGTGATCAATATTCGGTGCCCTGTGTCTGGATGCAGAGGATTATTGGAGGCTGAGGATTGCCGTGAGATTCTTTCTCCTCAAGTGTTTGATAGGTGGGGCAAGGCACTGTGTGAGGCTTTAATCACTGCGGATGAGAAGTTTTATTGTCCCTATGGGGATTGCTCTGCACTGTTGATTCATGATGGCCAAGATGCAATAAAGGAATCTGAGTGTCCCAATTGTCATAGGATGTTGTGTGCAATGTGCAAGGCCCCTTGGCATCAGGGTATCGAGTGTGAGGAGTTTCAGAAGCTGAACAAGGACGAGAGGGAGAAGGAAGACATCATGTTGCTGCAGCTTGCAAAGGAAATGAAGTGGAGGAGGTGCCCCATTTGCAGGTTTTACGTTGCCAAATCTGATGGCTGCATGTATATGAAATGCAGGTCAGCTTTTTATTCTTGTTTTGTGTTAGTATCAAAAGGACAATCATGTGTTATAGGACTCTACTCATGCTATAGTAGGCTTCCTTATCTTCTATGTAAGAGATTGATTACATGGATTGAACTTGTGATCTTGGGAGCCACATGCCTTGTGTTTAGTGTAATCGTATAAGAGGGCAATATGATGGGTGCTATATGACTCAGAGAAAATTCAGGGAATGGTATATAGTAGGCAGTCTTATTTACATTACATAGATGTATCATGTGAGTTTCAGGTCAAGTCTTGTGTTATTATAGTACTATTATATTGCAGTTTTGGAGGTCTCTCACCTCTGCAACTGCAACATCATGTTGGTTCCTTTGACCATAACTTGTCTAGTTCTTATATTGTACCTTCATGTTTTCTCTCCTCTGTGCATCTTTTTGATGCAAACCCAGATTTCAATTTGTCATTCTTATTTTGCTTCCTAACCTTTTCCAGTCAGAGGTTCATTGTATTGATAATAAGACAATAGTAGTATACATGGTTTAGCATAAGCAACCTCTCAAATGTACTAGTACTACTGTAACTCTGTCTCTTCTTTTTTTTGGCAGATCAATTTTGAATCAGTCATAGAAAAGGACCAAATATGGCTTTGTTTGTACATAGTTGTTGTTTGTAATTGAGGACATCCTCAAAGCAGTTTCTCACACATAATTTCAGGGTTTCAAATCTTCTTTAAATATTTGACCTAGCTCTCTGTTTGGGTGTAACACTTTTAGCTTTATGGTTGGCACTTGCATGCTTATGATTAATAGACAACATCAAATTGAGATGTCCCTTTCTTTGTTATATTTAAGAAACTCCATATATTTTAAGTTGTGAAAGCTTCGACACTTGCATACCGGCTTTATTTCCATGTACTTGATGTCAAGAACTCCAAATATTTTCTCATTCTTGTATTTGGAAAAATTGAGTGTACATCACAACAAGTTCACCCGTTTATTTATAGTGGTGACCATCTAATAGGAAGCATGAATGCATGTAACTGAATGCACTTGTTTGTGAACTGAATAAATTGTATAACGGAAGAAACAAAAAACAAACCATCTGAAGATGGCTAACAGCTATTTTCCTCTAACTGCTATCTGTTATTTATGTCAATCCGTGCATGAGTGTTAGTTGCAGAGCATTTTTATCAGAAAGGAAAGGTCAATTATAAGAGAATGACATTGTATGAGATGAATAATTGTCTGGAACATAGATCGTAGAGGATGTAAACTTTGGTACCCTCTTTGTAGCCCAGAAAAACTGATTTGGGGAAAATTTGGTACGATGGGATGATAGGGTTAATGTATAGCTCAGGCAGACAAAAGCTTTCAAGTGTATGAGAAGAGGGGTTTGCCAAAGAGAGCCTCAAATGGATACTTGTTACCAAGTAAGGGGGTGGATAACTGATTGATTAAGTGCACAGAATGTGTACAGTCGCATATCTTGCATCTGCATCAGCATGTGTAATAAGAACATGGCTATGGCTTACTCTGTTTCACGTTCTTAATTTTTCCCATTTACAATACTTCCTCCCCATGTGTCATGACAAATTTCATGTGTCAATTACTCAAGAATTCTCTGACAATATTGGATTATTGTTTTTGCTAGTTTATGGTCATGAATAATTGTTTTCTCTTTTTTTCACCACTTTTATGTCTTTGGGCTTGTCAATCATTACAATGCACTTATAAAGGGTTCATAGTCATCATACACATGCTAGAAAATTCTCTAAAGCATGAGATTCCAACGTATCATTTGAGTCTAATTAACTGATTGCTATTACTATGAGAGAAATGGGCAATTCATCGATCTGTTTCAATTACCTTTGTAAAAAGAATACATGTATACATTTTCTTCTATTTTGGGTTGCAGGTGTGGAAATGCCTTCTGTTACAACTGTGGAGCTCGTTCCTTAGATCACACCCATTATTGTCGCAGCTGTAGACGCTAATGAGTTTGGATATATTATCTTTTTTAAATTGCTAAAATGGCAATAAAGAGGTTTAAACCTATCACCTAATGTAAATTATTTAAACTCTTTTTTACTAGCTCACATCTAATGACATTATGCTATGCACTATTTTGTAGAGGTTTTACCTGTTTCGATCTTTTCTGTAATTATTCTAACACAATTCTATATCATTTTCAGTTTTTGAGTTTGAGTGCTTAATGCTTATATATCTTTAACAACAATAAGGTTTATTTCGTTTTATTTATTTATTTATAACAAAAGTTCATGCAGTGGAGAGTCTGTCTTATTTTAAGGTCGATGGATATATATACTAGAATTATTGAAACTGTGTCCTCTCTTTTTTGGCAGATCAATTTTGAACTAGTCATAGAAAAGTACCAAATATGGCTTTTAGTTTGTATATAGTTGTTTGTAATTGAGTACATCCTCGAAACAGTTGCTCACACATAATTTCAGGGTTTCAAACGTAAAAACATCTTACCCGAACCAAATACGAAAACAATTTTTTTTTGAGAATGCAATATCCAATTCTAAAAAAAGAAAAGAAAAGAAAATAAAGTAAAAATCTCATCACATTTCTCATCAAAAAAATTCAGATTATAATATAGGTAGAAATGAAACATTCCCGAACCAAACGTCAGCATGGATTGGGAAGAAACGACTATCGTGGATTCATAGACTTAAACTGTAAGCAAGCTTAGTGGAAGTGTGAGAGTGCAGTGCGGTGTACCTACCTCAATCAGTGTTTTGAAAGATTTTGGCACTAAAGCATCACCAAGATTTGCTCTTTTTGAAAGAGCGTTTTTGGGTTTGAAATTGAGAATACAATCTAACAGTTTTGAATGTTGAATTCTTAACTACCATCTCAGATGAGTTTAGACACAGTTCTCAATTGCAAAACAAGATCAAGCAAATATGGCTTAGTTTGTACATAGTTGTTTGTAATTGAGTACATCCTCGAAACAGTTGCTCACACATAAATTCAGGGTTTCAAATGTTCTTCTTTAAACATATGACCTGGTTCTCTGTTTTCTTGCATTGTCACCACATTAATGTCTTTGGAGTTGGCAATTATTACCCCGGACTTACCAGCTTCTAAAGGATTAGTACGCATCGTATACATATATATAGTGCAAAATTCTATGGATTTATGTTAATTTCCTGTTAACTTTGTAAAAATAAAACTTGTATAAATTTTCTTTTATTTTGGGTTGCAAGTGTGGAAATGCCTTCAGTTACAACTGTGGAGCTTGTTCCTTAAATCACGGCCTTATTGACGCAATTGTGGATGCTAACGAAATCGAATGTATTTTTATTTTTTTTACTTTAAGAATATATTATGTTTTTAAAATTTGTAAAATGGCAGTGAATTAATACTAATGTGTACGGTAGTTAATGCCATTAACCCCGCGTGGTAGAATATTGGTCCGTTCGATAGAGTGATTGGCAGCATTAAATGTAGATTTGATTGCTTTGTGCGTCCTCTAGCGCTCGTAAGGCAACGCTTGCAAAGGCCGGGGCTCATAATGGAGGTTCAAGTTTTGTTACTCGACCATTCATTTGACACACTATTCATTCTATTCATCAGAATGCCACTATTAAATAAATTTTGCGAAAATAATACGTTAGCGAGTTATGTTTAGACATGTGACAATTACTTTGAGGTTACAATACTCTTTATACAGTGCAGCGAGTTAGGTCAGTCAACGTGACAAACTGCATAGTCTGAAAAAAGCTATCCATGTGGCATAACTCACTATACTGTTTATGCTGTTTAGCGTGTTACGTGGCAACTTTTTGACACATGGCATATTGTTCAACGAGTTATGTGGCAATACACGCTGTCAGTAACAAGTATCTTGCAGCATGCCACGTGTACAACTCGTCCAAGAGTGCAGCAAGTATAGTTCAATAAATACCCCCACCCCCATTTGTCATTTGCAACATTTCGACTGAATTCTCTAAATTTTGCATTGTTTCTTTCTTCTGTATTTTTCATCAAAATTTTTTCAAAATGAGTGATTGCAATGATTCAGTAATTGCCTTAGTATACTACAATAGGAGGAAATATTTTAGTCCTAATGGACATGATTTTGAAGGAGATACGAAAATATTTCGCATAAGCTCATGATGTAGTTTTAATGAACTGAAGAAGATAATATACAAGAAATTGAGATTACAACGAGGTCAATCTTTGTCTCGATTGACTGCTAGATGCGCCTCGAGCAAAGAAAGTTGGGTTCCAGTGGAGATTTTTGAGGACGAAGATGTCACGTTAGTAGTAGATGCATTTCGAGATCATCCAGAGTCCACATTTATTGAACTGTATGCGGAAGTAGACTCTGATTGACAGTCTAGCAATCAACGTTCTGTCCCTTCCATTCAGTGCATCAACATTAATAGAAAGTCATTAGTGAATCCTAAAGATAGGTATTTGTCACCCCCACCACCCCCTCTGCCAACAATGTCATTTGAAATGCTTCCTACTCAAGATGAGTATGTTCTGACGTGCCCTATGACAGCTCTGATGAAGAGGTGGATAAGGGTGTTGTTCCGGATAGTCACACATCGGACACTGACGTGGAGAGCGATTTCGATTCATGTTTGTCTACCATCATGTGTCATCTGATTCCTTCACCGGGCATTGTTGGAATGCACGACCTGCTAGTGACAGGTTAATAACCAGAATTAATGAAAACTTTTTTAATATGAATTTTACCTAGCAATGTTGATTCATTGCTATGGATGTGTGCTTATATAGGATAAGTGAGTGTTCCATTTTGGTCTCAAATAAGTCACTATATGCATATCAATTGGGCACATCCAGATCAGGAGTTGCCAGCAATAGATGGAGCGCAAGTACTTAACTGGCATATGGGTCAAGAGTTGTACAAGGACCAGGTGTTTGACAACAAGCACGATGTGTAGATGGCAATAAAACAGTTTTGTATGGCGGAGTATCACACAACCATTGTAGCTAAAAGTGATATGAAAAGATTAATCATGGTATGTCAAAATCACAACAACGGTTGTCCGTGGAGGGTGAGGGAACACGTAAAAAAGGGCGGCACTGAATGTGGGTTATCGGCAAATGGGTTAATGAACATAACTGTGTTAACCATACTCTTTCTCAATATCACAAGTAGTTGGACTCTAAATTCATTTGTTCAATGATCCTAGGTATGTCAAATGTCCTCAATGCTCGAGGCAGTGTCGACGAAGAGCATCCCATCCAAGATGCGCATGATCAATTTACGCATGTACATAATGTGTTGTGCCTCAGTCCTAGCATGCAGAGCATAGTGACCATATGCCCGACACAAATATCTAAGGTTTAACCCACCACCTTTGAACTCTCGTTCTGCAGCTAGCACAAGTCCCAGGTTTTCCAATATTAGTTGTCGCCAATCATGTTGTCCAGCACGACCAGAGATAACTTCACCATTCGAGGGCAAACCCAACAAATGATGTACATCCTCCAAGGTGATCGTCACTCACTAGGCACCATATAAAAGTCTGCGTCTCAGGCCGTCAAAGCTCGACAAGCTCAGAAATATGAGCATGGTCAATATGAAACATTAAAAATAAGTGATGTTTTTGAATTATTACAATTAATCCATATGAACCAAAAAACCAATAACTTTACACTAACATCGTGGTTGCGTAGCCGCGCAACGTGAAAGAAAGAAAACCACCTTGGTATTTGTAGTGTAATTAATGATTAATTAATATTAATTAATTCGTATGACTTCCTAAATTATAATCGTTGGATACAAGAAAATCAACGGTTGAGATATGGTGTAAGACTTATTAGTCTTTTTTTTTATAAACAAAAGGGCTAAAAGCCCAAGAAAACCAAAGAAAGAAAAAATACAAATGAAAACTACCCAGGGAGTGCCACAACACGATCCCTTCCTACAGAAGCAAGATCACCCAGATATAAAGGATGAACATCATACAGAGGTTGACTAAAAAATCTTTGATCAACTTGCTCAAAAGAATCTAGCATGAAGTTAGCTAACCAATCTGCACACGTGTTACCTTCCTTGAAAGTGTGTTGAAGATGAACCTGTCAATCCTTTTCAAGCGACGTTCGTATACGAGAAACCAAATGCACCTCGTGGACTGCTACACCACATTTGGTGAGCACAATAATTGCCATAAGCGAATCACTTTCTAAAATAATTTTCTTATATCCAGTGTTCCAAGCCCTCTCCAATCCTCTCAAAATTTCCCATAATTCAGCTTTAAAAGAAGAACAAAAACCCAATCTAAAAGCAAAACCATCCAACCAAATACCTTGAGATTCATAATTACTCCTCCACAAGCTGCCCTGCCAGGATTACCACGGGAAGCTCCATCAGTATTTACCTTCACAAAGCCTTCCTCAGGAAAGATCCAAGTTACTGTCAAATTGCTGATATGAGGACTATATATTGAGGTATTCTGATGTGATATAGCATTATCAATGTCTCGCACAAAGTTTTTAATTGCTTCAACTTTACTCCCAGTCGTTGGAACCGATTCTCCATGGTTCAACATGTTCCTCCAACTCTAAATTTTCCAGTAAGCAACCATAAATATAGACAGCCACCTATCATGAACATTGTCAATGAAATCATCGCTGAAATTGTTTGCAAGCCACTGATCTATTGTAGCATTATAAAAAGCAGCACTCTAAGAAGGTGGAATAAGACAATCCCATACCATTCTAGCCCTGTTGCAATCCCTTAAGGAATGTATAATAGTTTCAAGCTCACCATTTTCACATGTACATTTGCCATCTCCTCCATTCCATTCAGACACCTTACTATTCGTTAACAGTTTCTGATGGAGCAACTTCCATATGAAAATTTTAATTCTTTGAGGTCCCTTCTAAGCCCAAAGCCTACTCCAAGTCTTTTTAATGGCATCATCAAGGAATTCATTGTTAGAAAGGCATTTATATAAAGCACCAATAGAAATAGAATTAGAGTTCTCGATCCCCCATATATTTTTATTAGTTCCATCTTCAATCATGGGAGGCAAAATACTTCAGATAATATCAACAATATTTATTGGCAACCAACTATTCAGCTTAGTAAAGTCCCACTCACCTGATTGAATGACTACATCAGCAACCTTTGAATTTTTGAGCATCTGTGTATCCTCTTCGTCA